ATCATACACCCACCCTGTCGGAAACAACAACAACCAAAAAGGAAATATTTATGCCAGTCAGGCTTATTATTCCAAAACCAACTTACTATTGACTGTATACCAACGACGTTCACTGAAGATCAACAACACCAACGCCAATATTTGGTTTAATAAACAGTGTATTGCTATGAATATTATACCAAAGTACGCACAAATGAAACCGAAATCAAAAACAGCAGCGAGTCAGAAAATTGTTAGGAGAGCCGAGAACAACTACATCCAATGTGAATTAAAAAACTTGCACGCCAAAAAGCAACATACAAATGCGGAGCTATTGGCCATCCACCTACAGTTAGCGGAGCATCTGCCAATCCAAACTTTGATGGAAATAATAGAGAAAATAAAAGCCAATAATAAAAAACTCATGAAGAAGAAGTATGAAAGGTTGAACAAGAAACTCGTTAACTTGAGGGCGAAGCAAAGCAACCACAAAATCATGAAAGATGCAGAACAGAAATTCCACTCCCGATTTGTAAACTTGACGGAGGTTTACATCAATGAGCAAGAAGCAGAACTATTAAGAAAAGGCCTCAAACACAACATTGAAAGTTACAACCAAAAGAGGGAACTTGAACAAACTATCGTGGATACTGAAGTTATTATATCACGGCTTCCAGCTGAAGAACAGGAGCACGCCAGACACATATGTCGGCACATAATTGAAAAAGACATAAATGCCAAGAAAACTAGGAAGCAGAAGAACGAAAACCAAACCATAAAAGGGCTCAAAGAAAAGCTAAGGGCAAACAATGTTATAACCACAAAAGCAGACAAAGGCAATACCACCGTATTAATTGATAAAAAAGATTACATAGAGAAAACTGAAAGTCTAATAACTGAAATAGGGTGCAATAAATTGGGAAAAGATCCCACTGAAGAATACCAAGCAGCAATAAAGAATACCATAAAGAAAAGCACAACCATAATAAAGGATAATCTACCATATAGACTAACACTTATGAACCCGAGTGTCCCTCCGTTGATTGCCTTGCCAAAGACACACAAACCAGGCACCCCGATGAGACCTATCATTAATTACAAGTCTGCTCCCGGATACAGACTCTCCAAGCACCTAAAGACGCTGCTGAAGGATAGTCTGGATCTACGCAATAAATATACTGTTACAAATGCAACGGAACTAATCGAGAAGATGAAATCGTTGAAGATCAACGAAAACACTAAATTCGTATCATTCGACATCAAGGACCTTTACCCATCGATACCAACAATAGAAACCATAAAGACCGTACAAGAAATACTGATGGGAAAAATGAAAAGAGAAGCTGTCACGGAAATAATAAACGCGTTGAAGGTCACATTAAAACAAAACTACTTCCGGTTCAACAATAAGATATATAAACAGATTAACGGGTTAGGAATGGGCAATCCGACGTCAGCAATACTCATGGAAGTATTCATGCAAACACTGGAGGAGAAATACATGAAAAACCTATCGACCAACCTAGGAGTAAAATTCTACGCGAGATATGTCGATGATGTAATATGTCTAATAGAGGGAAACAAAGAGAAACAGATACTAGACTATCTCAACAAACAACACCAGAATATAAAATTCACCATGGAAACGGAAGAGGAAAGAAAGATTAACTATCTGGATTTAACAATTAAAATAAACGATACCACGAACAAGATAGAGTTCGAAATATACAGAAAACCAACAGCCACAGACACAATTATACACAATAGCTCAAACCACCCACAGCAACACAAAAATGCAGCATTTAAACAACTAATAACGAGGCTTGAAAGGACCCCTCTAACAGAAGAATGCTACAAGAAGGAACTGGATACAATATATGCCATTGCGGAAAATAACGGATATAGGAGAGGCCTGGTGGAGAAGTTAAGAAAGGACACAAAACCGAAAAAGACTAGCAAAGAGGAAAACAATAAAAAAACTTGGGCAGCTCTAACTTACACAGGAAAGACATCTTACAAACTTGCCAAATTCTTTCATAAGTACGACATTCAGACATCATTTAAAACAAGGAACACAGTGGGAAATATATTGAAAGAGAAAATAAGCGAGGAAGACCCGCTAGATAAACAGGGCGTTTACAAGTTAACCTGTGAGTGCCGACACAGTTACATAGGACAAACAGGGCGAAATATAAGAACAAGGTATCGAGAACACATAAGGGATTATAATAAGAAAAAACGAAAACCAGAGGCTGCAATAGAATCGAACTTCGCGAATCACATGATCAAAAATAAATGCACACCAATGAAGATTGGACAAACAACAGAACTTCTCCGTGTACAACATAAAGGACAAAGATTGAATATATTAGAAAATATGGAAATATATAAACAGAAGACCTTCAAAGGACAAATAATAAATGAGCAAATAAATACTGCATCGGACGTACTGTTTGAACCTCTAAAACTACTGTACAAGAAGAAGAATGACAACAAGAAAATATTAAGGACAGATATGGAAGGGAATACACCGACTGCAAAAACAAAAGGGGTAAAAATCACGGACTTCTACCTGCCGTCAAAAACGAGCCAAAACAATTCATCTACCTATTGAGTACCGCAAACACTGCAAAACTAAAAAGACGTACCTAACAAAAGAAAGAGGTAGTTAACAAGGAGTATAAATACGAGCAACCAACAAAAATTATGCAGAACGAAAAATGACACTGAAGATGGCACAACGCCGAAACCGGTTTGTCTCCAAACCAAATTTGACAAGGGATGACGGAAATTCGTTCCATAATACATCATACACCCACCCTGTCGGAAACAACAACAACCAAAAAGGAAATA